ACGCATGAGCGTAAAAAGAGAAAAGAATTCAACAACCTGCTTAAGAAAGTAACAATGTATGCAAATAAAGGTGGATGCAATTACAAGTTTATTTGGTGGAAGTCTCAGCTTCAAGTTCATATCTACAGGGAGGGTTGGAGGTGGAGTGCGGAGGCTATAGGTTTTAATTCTTGTTGGGAGATTTAATTATTTTTGGGCGAGAATGAAGATTTTTCAATTGAAACACATTGCTCATGCTAGAATTGCAACATAGGCAGGTGCATAAATCATCCAATTAATGCAAGGCTTCAACACAAAAAGGTCATTGATGCAAGAGGCTCAACGATAAGATTTCCTACTGCAATTGATATGAAGTATAGCATACTTTTATACAAAGGAAAGTTGAGGATTCAAATATCATAAGTTACCAATCAATTGAGCAACTCAATTTTTTTAAAATGAAATAGGAAATAGTTGTCTATAAGTCCACTTGATAATAAAATAATCATAAAAATTCAATAATTTCAGTAAAAATTTGAAAATAAAATAAAATCCATAAGCAAACAAATTAAGTTTTACAACATTAATTTTTTTATGTATCACTTTTTAACCAAAATCAATGGTGTTAAATCAGCAAATAAATAATCAAACAAAAGAACTAGACAACAAATGAAGTTGCCAAGGAAAAGAATAAAGCATGATGACTCCAAAAAAATTAAATAGTAACACTGGTACCACACTAAAAATAAATAAATATCCAACTTAAACGCACAGCATTGAAATTGAAAATGAAAATGTATTTAAGTAAAAAATGTTATGAATTACAAATCCAGAACCATTATTTATGTACTCCTCGTATCTTATGTAAGTAAATGAAGTTGGCACGAGATCAATTTCAATTTAAATTCATGATTAATACAATTTTTTTTAATTCCCAAAAAATTCAAACTCAATCCAGTTCAAATTAGAAATCCAAAATCAAATCATTGCTCCCATCCATCACTACTTGTTATAATTCCCATATATCCACAAGCTACACACAAGTCCTGCAAACAAAATTGCAGAAACAGAAAACATGCATGAAATGGGACTTGTCAGCCATCTCATCTGCAAAGCAACAGATAGCACCGCCCCATTCAAAACTTTCTATTAAATAAATATCATCAAAAGGCAACCGCCTCACCCAACAATATCACAAAAAAACAAGGCCAAAATATTGTAGCATCAAGCACAATAAGTAAGCTGAAGGATGCCAAATGCCTTCAATGGCCAATAAAAAAAAATAGGCTGAAGGATCATTACATGTCAATTTAAAGATCAGTTCTAGAAATGATAATGAAATAAATCATGATTTCATTATTCAATATATGGATATTCAAATTACAAGATAGTTCATCTTAAATGCATAGTTAGAACAACGAAAATGTACCTATGTACTGAGAAATAAAGTACCCGAGGATCACTATAGAACATATTTTGAGTACCATTGCCATGATGAACATCCCAGTCCACAATCAATATCCTTCTCATACTTAATTCTGCCTGCAAAAAGAAATAAAAATAACAGAATCATTTAACATGAACAGATGATCGGAAATTAATTTCATCAGGATTTGAGGATGAAATCTTAGAAGCTATTCCTAAACTTGTCTATGAATGTTATATAAATATTGTACATACTCTCTCATTCAAGAGATAGGATGCTGCAATTGCCACATTGTTGAAGAGGCAAAAACCCATAGCTTCATTAGCTTCTGCATGATGACCAGGAGGCCTAACAACAGCAATGGCAGAATCCAGATTCCCATTCGCAACATTCTCTGTAGCCTATATGAAATAAATGATATCTACAAATTGAAATCTTAACAATAGGTGAAAGAAAAATACATCTTACAGATAAAAAGAGGCAGGATTTAAGATCAATGCTAAGACTATTAAATTGAGAAAATATTAAAAGTAACCAAATTTTGAATTAGGATTAAAGTGCTCAACCTCAATAACGGTTCCTGCAGCAAGATAGGCTGCCTTAGAAGAACCCTCGTTAAAATAAATAGAATTCAACTTCGAAGCAATCATCAGACGTCGAGAATCGAACTTCTTAGAGCTAATATTTCTTATCAGCTTTATGTGATTCCTCGTATGCACAGATGCTATAATTGCATCCTCAGCTTCCTTGATTTTAAGCAATATGCACCTGAAAGATTTAAAAAAAGATTAGTACTTGGGGAAAAAAAAGATCATTTCAATATAAGATACATAAACCAGCTCAGCAAGTTTAGTTCACAACCCGTGAACAATATGAGTCTGATGCTTCCATAAAAAGATCCAATGAAAATGAATAGAATATCATCCTCAATGCTAATACAGAATGAAACATAATCCAGTTTGTTCAACTAATCATCTATTCTTTCTTCAATAAATGAAACACAAGCTAACAATATTTTTTCAGTCAATTGTATGTAAACATGAAAACTTCTTCAAATTGATGAATATTCAAGTGCTGGACAATATGGACAACAATGATAACTTGAGATTGCAGTAAGGCCGTTATTTCAGTCGTCACATGTCACATGCTCTTATTTTCAATTGGTATACGTGTTATTCTACTCATCGTTCCTTGAGATTATTTGAAGTTTACATGACAGAAATCAAATAAAACATGTAAAACATAAAGGAAAATGAAATGAACCACAGGATAAAGTTAGCATAAAGTACAACAAAGGGGTAAGGAGAAGCCTGATACCAACCATAAGGGGCAAGGGAGGAAGCTCATGGCACTAAGTCGCTAGCCAAGAGGAATGGAGGAAGGGAAGCTAGCAATTAGAGATCCTTGGATTCTCGGCAACACAATTCTTTCATAACTCAATCAAAACCATTCAATGAGGACAAAAAACTATCCCTACATTAACTCTTCAAGATAGAAGTGACAATTTTTATTTTTCTTGAAAATTGGATCAATGGTATGCATAGAACTTCAATTTTCCAAGAATCATGGACAATTTGAATCTACTCAGCTTTTCACTCCAGTGATTGTAATTCCTAGCCTACATGACTTCCAAAATTTATAATAAGCCGCAAAAATTTGCACCCAAGCCTCTATTGAGAGAGTTTTGGATCGAGTAAATTTTTTTAAAAGGTGGATTAGATTTAAAATAAGATACTGCGAAAAAATTTCGTCTGCATTTCATGAGGACCTTATAATTTGGTTCCATACTTCCCGCAAGCACAAGCCTCTCAGGTTAATTATCCCTCCCTATATGAGAGAAATCTTTCAATTAAAGCTAACCAATAAATAGGCACGACTTGCTTGGCATATAGTAGCAACACTTGATTTAAGATTAGAATTCATCATCTTATACTTAAAGCAGACGGTGGGAAAAATTATGATAAACCAAATCAAAATCTTATGGCTAAGTCATCTTGGATTATTATGATCCCTAGTTTATTTAGTCAAAAGAGGTATTTGACCCAGCCTAACTAAAGAATTCTTCTCAACAACCATGAGTAACTCATTCAAAGGTATTACAAGTAGAGTGCTGAGTTAGCCGTTGTATAAT